CTGTCACATTATAACGCCCCCACGGCTGAAAGGGCGAGCATGTTTGGTGTGACGGGGATTCGAACCCGCGACCCTCTGATTGCGAGTCGAGCGCCCTAACCACCTGGCCATGCCGGGCCATTTACCTAGTGAGTGGGAATATAGATATTTCAATGGCTAGCGCCATCAGAGTATCAGACACACCATTTGACATCTGAAGGCTATTTAAAGCATCACACAATAATTTAAACATAAAGTCAGGCGCCTGCAAGTCCCAAGTTTTTGGTATTTTTTCTTAAAGTTTAGGTTAATTCAATATACCTTATAGCAGTAAAAACACAGTAACAGTCTTCCTGGTGCTCGACCAGATTCCCAACAAGCGAGAAGAACATTCCACTTGAAGAGATATGTTTCATATCTTTGTAAAGAACACTCCACTTCGAAGAGATATGTTTCATATCTTTGTAAAGAACACTCCACTCGAAGAGATATGTTTCATATCTTTGTAACTGCTAAGTCAAGAATTCCCATCTTACCTTGCCTCATCTCTCGGTATCTAACGCGCATATTTATCAGTTCAGTCATAAGCTGCTGTGTTCAGATGCCATATAGTTTGTTTGTTGTTAAGCACAAAGCTGCACAATGGGCTATCGCTGCTCTGCCCACCACGGGCATTGCAACCTGGTTTCTAGCGTTGTAAGTCGGCAGACATACCGCTGGGCCACTGGGAGGCTGCCATATAGTACAGTGTAGACAAACAATACTCTGATGGTGAAATATTTTACAAAGTTAGTAATTTAACGCAAAAAGGAAGTTCCAAAAAGTGCAACCAGTGTGAAAATAACCATGTATCATGTTGAAAAAATTAGGATCGTTAAAACTTACGATGCGCATTCGATAAGGTGAATAGTTACTTGAATTTTCATCCCTGTTTGTTTCTTTTTTTCCTTTTGGATATTTGCGCAAAGCTACACAAGGGCTGTTTGTGCTAGCCGTCCCTAACTGATAAACTAAAGGAAAGACAGCTAGTCAACAGCACCTACCGTGAACTCTTGGGTACGTTAATCGAATGATAGGGGATTTGACCGTCACTCTTATAACGCAACCAATCAAAGCGTGGCACGCAATTTTGCTACAGCGAAACGCAAACCATAGACCCTTGGATTTTCAGTTCGGTTCACTAACGATTAGGCCACGCCCGGTTCTTTTATCTTAGTTCAAGTATTCATAAATATTTTGAAGTTAATTGATAAAAATACTATGTTACATTCTTGCGTATTATTAAGCTTCTTTTTTTTTCTCACATATCAGAAATAAATAAATATATAGGAGTCGGCACAAGAAATAACGAAGTTAGGCTGGCGTGAAATAGTTGCAGTCTCAAAGATAATTTTACTAAATATTGTTTCAGTTACAATGCTTCAAAGGAGTAGGGGACACTATCTAAATCAATAAACCATGCAGACGAAGAACGTACCTTGGAGCTCAGTTGGAGGAGGAAGAAACCGAAGCATGTTGTTGAAAGTGTGGTAGCTTTTGAGTGGGTATGTCCACTCGGTACTAACTCTTTGTCAAATAATTAAAGACTGCCCCAGTAGTCTGCCAAAAACAGTGTTATGCATACTGTTAAGCCTCCAGACTGGTTATTCACAGATGGTAGTAAATCAGACTAGCAAAGAAAAGTAAGCTTTTAAGAGTGTCACGTGATTCCAAGTAAATGAAAAAGGCCATTTAACTTGGGCTATGCCCCAAGCAATTTTCAACAAGATGTTTTACTAATCTTACTTCTGAAACAGAAGAATTTTTCCTCGTCTACGGAAGCAACGTTGCTGTCATTGGCAGAAGTTTTGGAAAGCACTTAAAACTATGCCAGCTAAAAGTAAATCCAGAGATATTCTGCTATCTTTCGATAAAGATTTGTATTTTTAGGTCATCTTTATAAATGAGGCTGAAATTTACTTTAACACAGCAATTATGAAGGATATGAGTGTTTTTATACGTCTGCACCTGCAATATGCGTGTTTTGCAATAGGATTGATTATGTCGTGCTGTTAAAGCAGATATCTATTAATAAATATTTATCTGAGATAAATTGTGTCCGTGTAAATGCGACATATGTTTGTTTTTTCGGGATTTTATTCTATTCAAGATTACTGCGATATTTCCCTAGCAGAACAGTTGACTTTGTTTGGATTTGAGAAAACCAGATAAACCTTAGCAGTTACATTCGTAGAGAGACGTATTTACTGGAGAAAGAGGAATTGGTAAAACTGAAATAACACCTCGCGTTGAATGTGAAAAAAAAATAGATGATGGTTTTAAAACAGAGAAGTACTCTGTGTTATACTCATTATCAGAAAAACCGGACCTATTTCCAGACATGAATAGGATAGTAGTATACGTTTTTTGTAACATATAGAGAGTGTCACGAATATATTAGCACGAAAAAGAATAAATTAAATTACAATTAAAGTAAATATTGATCGACCTTGAGAATAAATTATCTCAAATATTATTGATAATGAAATTGAACCAGTCTATTTTGAAACCAGTCTGTTGTTTAAGCTGAAATTAAATTGATGATTTTTTTTTGGAAAAGTGTTCAACATTATGCTAAATTATTTTTATGATCGATCCGTTTGTGTTTTGTTATCATTTTAAACAGCGATTAATTATCCTGTTTTTGAGCACAAAAACATCAATATTTTATTTTGGATTTATCCGCTACGTTGGCCGTTATAAGTTGTAACCATCCAGTTAATTAGTTGTTCATTTCAGGATTTACTATTGTGGTTTGTATCCGAGTCACGTGTTTTCTAACTCAATGTACTGTAATATGAATTAGCATATTCTTAAAGAACCAGGAATATAAACTTATGCTGTTTCAAGGATTCAAAAGCAAACAATTGAGCTTCGTATAATGTTATGGCCTCCAAAAATATAGTCTGTAAGTATTTACTGTTACATTATGTATATCTCTGGCATAATGCTAGTTGGTGTTTATTTATTTTTTTGTGAAAGATAGACATCTGAACTAAGACTTTTTTAATACTGATTAATAAATTTTCTCGTTTCATCAGCGGATTCTTTGCCTACGTATCTTATTTCTAGATTGAAAATCCTAATCAGGCATTAATTGGAATGCTCAACGCAACTCCTCTCGCAGATTGGATATTTTCGACCTTAAACACCAGTGAACATGCTTATACGGATATATCACCATTGCAATTGGAAGAATGGTGGTGGGAAAAAATTCAGGTTAAGCCTGATTGGCTGCAGCTTCAGAAGACTTTAGAATGGGTATGGCAGGTTCATACGTTTGGCTTGGCATGTCTGTTCCTCTTCATGGCTTGTGTATCCTTTTTCACGTTCTTGAGTCTTCAAGCCCAGTTATCTGCACGACCAAATTTGTCCACTCTGAGCGTTTGCCTCTGTATTTCAGGAGTGACCCAATCCTTGGGTCTTTTCATCGATCCATATGGTTCCAAAGAAGTAAGTCTTTTTTGTTTGTTTGCATGTGAAGTCAAAGTCCTAAATTAAACTATTCTTATAAATTTAAACTAGTAAAGAGTTTATGTCGAATATGTAAATCAAGGTTTTTCCTCGAAAAATATTAATGAGTTAAAAGTCGTGGTCACAACTGTAGAATAAGCAATTATGAAATGTAAATAATTCTTACAAATTTATTAAAAATGAAGATCAACTTGAAAAGTTGAGATACGTGTATCGTATACATACATTATATTACTGCCGTATAAAAAGTCCAGGTAACAGTGAAAATAATAATAAGAAAATCCTGATGAATGAATATTTACGAGTATCATGTGAGACAAATATCAGACTAATTTAATCACAATAGATACGGAATTAAGCTGTAATTTCCAAGATTATGCTAAAAACAAAGTCTTGATAAAATGTTAACAATTAATGACAAAAGCAAAAGTTCGAGTACTGTGTTTCTCGTGGCTTACAACTTTTCCTATTAGTTGCATATTTCTTCATTTATTCTATTGCTTAGCTAGTTTATATACAGTTGAAAACCTGAAACTAATTCTTATATTCTTATTAATCACTTACTTCAAAGTAAATGTTATTCCTTTTATTTCACTTACGTTTTATGTAATTACAAATCTCATTATTATAAGTAAATCATAAAATAATTTATTTGGGATCATCTATCTACTATGTTGTTCCATTCTAAGTAAACGTGTATTCCCACATTTAACTAGTCGTTTATTTTATAATTTATTCCTGTGGTTTATGAACAAGTCATGTGCTTCCTAAATCCTTAGTTTTAAAGAAAGTTGGTGTTGAAATGTTGTTAGTGTTGTAGCTGCTTAGGTTAATACTGAAAGTTAGAATAACATTTATCTTTATATTATTTCTAACATAATGATAAGTTTTCTGTAGCGTTTCGTCAATGGCTGATACTTTACTGAAGTTACAATGATTTTATAAACAATAAAGTTAAAGAATTTAAAGAGCACTAAAAATCACTTTGTTAGCTTAAAAATTAGTTTATCGAATAACTTATCGATACTTGCGAAACAAGACAGTTGCTAATTAATCGCAAAATAGTGTGTTTAAAACTGTGTCAACAATTAGTAAAGTCAGCACATCAGAGAAAAAAATTGAGTGATTCAAGTCACAATAATTCACTTATTATCTATGAACATAAATTATAAAAACATAATCAGTGCAGGTAACTTTTACAAACCTATAAATTGGCAAGACAATGTTAACTACAAACCATCACAAGAAGCATCTAAAAAAGTTTTCTCTAAACAGTGCATTGTAAAAAGTAATAGTTTTATACAAACACTGAACAACAAAATATTTTGAAGTTAAAAGTTTTAAAAACACTTTCTTTTCTTCCCTTTAGTAAAGCAAGAAATATTAGTAGCAATAATATAAAATGATAAACGTGAGCGTTGACTGTCACCGGTAAAAGGTATTTATTTTCAAATGAGAGTAAACTTTTAGATGTTATGTATTAACAACTTGCTTTACACTCAGATGATGCCCAACGTTTTGACTGCCATCCTAGGAGACTTAACTTTTCCTTGTTTACTGTCTTCTCTTTCGTTCCTGCAAATCGATTTTCAACACATCATTCAGATTAATGTGGATCCTTCTAGCGTCACTAATGAGACACTTTTGTCAGTGATCATCACGTCACATTTCTTTCTGGTACTTGCCGCTGACATTCTATGGACGCTAAAAAGTAGTTATCAGGTAAGATATAGGTTTGTTTGCATAAGTTGACATTATCTAACTATATACAGTAACGCATATTCACAGGTACACCGCAAAGTATTAAATATTATGATGGTTTGACATGTTTAAAATGTATTAGATACAGCATTCAAAATTCTATTTTTAGGTTATATGGCTTGTTACTCAGCTCATTTTCACTGCATGGGGAATCTACTTGAGTTCTTCTTGTCTGTGGAATTATTCCAAATTTTTGCGATCACTGGTCAACTTCCCTTTAGTTTTCCTCTCCCGAAATGACCTGAGCTTTAGCAGTCAGAAAGGTTTCTATCACTTAGGAAGGCCCGCCCAGACGAGTATAACGACAGTTACTAAAAGTAGATTGGAAGTCACCTCTAGTCGGTCCAAGTCCTATGACTACATGATTCAAGCACCACAAGGTGGTCTCACTTATGACCAAATAAAGAGCTCTTCTAAGACTACCACAGCTGAAGGCATTGGTAAGCTCAAATGACGCCATTTTATCATGGCTTTCTATTGTGAATTAAATACAAATATATTTTTAAATATGACTATGTTTTGCCAGTATTAATCTAAAATTGTAGTCTTCTTTATATATATTTTATTCTCTTTAATTAATGTTTTCATTGAGACGTAATTATATTTTTAATAATGTAACAACTTGAACAAGTAGCGTTACGTCAGCACATTAATTGTAAAAAATAATTGAGTTTTTAGTTTACATAAGTACATTGTCTATATCATTAAATAATAAATGCGAGGTTTAATCCTTATTGTCAGTTCTGTGACAATTTTCAAATTAAAAGTAAAACATATCTGAGATAAGTTCGTTAGTAATGCTTGTGAGATTACAGATTTGCTTGTTTGTTTGTATATAAGCACAAAGCTACACAGTGGGCTATCTGTACTGTGTCCACCATGGACTGAATTATATAAACACGTCATTAAATATTTTGGCTACATCATCTTGCTATTCTGATCATCCACTTATCTTTGGAAATCTTCCTCTGTTTTGGTGTGGATTGTACAGCCTTACCATGTCACATGATGAAATTCAGTCATATCAATATTTACATTATAACAACTTTTCATCTTATCACCATCTGATTTAAGTATTTCTTGGGTAAAAATTTGTGTTGTCAGTTGTGTTACTCAGCCTCACTGCATGCTCTGTGTACCTCTTCTGAGTAATAGTCCTCAGATTGGAATTAAAGAAGGTCCATTGGCACTTTCACTTCTCTTCCAAATATCAGTAATGCTGTTCATAGATTCGTATATTGCTGTTCGATAACTCAGGAGTAGAAGTATAAGATATTGATATGTTCTATGATGGCCATCCATATAATTTATTAATTAATAGTATATTGTTGTGTCTCTCTATTACAAAAAGATTGAAGGGCCGTAGAGCTGATCTTTCTGATTCTAAGAAATTTAAATATTTCTGTAAGAAAGGCTGATTCAATGTCCCAAGAATAGCATACGTTTCTGGACATTTGGTGAAACAGTCCATCACGACAAAGATGTAATTATTTTCACTGTTTCTCTGTACTAAATGACCAAAAACGCTGACAGCATATCTTTCCACCCTCTCTCTCTTTTTCTTTGTGGGCATTTTTTCTCATTGGAGTTTACATGATTGACATCAGTCCACTACAAATTCCCAGCACACAACAAAGTAAAAGCGTTCTCTTATTTTCTTAACCCGTAAGTGTCGAGCTGTTGGAAGGTTGTACGAGTAATGGAGGGCGTCCGATTGTAGTGGCTGTGAAAGTACAAACTAAAGTCCTAATTTCTGTCCACTTTTATCTTCCTATTTTTGACAAAGCAAGCCTTCTTGTAGGCATAATAAATGCCACTGTGTCAATTGTATCTATCTTTTGGCTGTATTAAACCAATGTCTGCCATGGCAGTCATTCTGCACCATTGTTGATCTACTGTTTGTTTGTAGAATGTCACATAAAGCTACTCGAGGGTTATCTGCACTTACTGTTCTTAATTTTTAACTGATAGACTACAGGAAAGGTAAATAGTCAACACTGCCCACCACTAAGTCTGAGGCTGCTCTTTGCCGATAAATAGTGGGGTTGACCACTCCATTATAATGCTCCCAAAGCTGAGAAAATGAGCATGTTCGGTGACAATATTCGATCTCGCAACCCTCAGATTGCGAGTCGTGTGCCCCTATTACCAGACCATGCCAGGCCATTACTCAGCTAAATAATCAGCTTAATCCTATCATGATTGATGAGCACCTTTCAAGTGTTGTACACAACTGCATATCAATTTCAAAGTTTAAGTAAAAATAATAACCATAACTTTATTTTAATGATGTTTTTCACGTGATTTCTTTCTCATTCTGTGATCTTCATTAATGCACCCCTGGTTCCCACTCTTTTATGATCTCACAGCATTTTATGTGAACAACTACTACTAAACCCAGCTTTGAAAATATCTACAAGTAAAGTTTAAATATAGGGCATTTTGCTACTTCACACTATGCCACTCAAAAAAGTTAAATTGCAAATGTCGACACAGGTGCCTGAATATTGGGGGTGGTGCCTAATTTTAGTTACATAGGAAGTTAAACATTTCTCATTTATTTAGTTTCTGTGCAGTTGTAGCATAAATACATGGTCCTGAAAACCTTGAAGTTTGCCTTGTTCTAGTTTTTGCTCCTTTTTTCTCTATAGTTGATTATGTTTATTCTGCCTGATGGAATATTGCGGTAACAATATTGAAAGAATCACCTACTGCAATATCCTTTGCTGGCCTAATGGATGATGTCTTTTTGTTATAACCAACGAATGCTGTGAGAGAAGAATCGTGAGGTTACGCTGTCAACTGGACAAAAACATCAAGTTTACCTGTTGAATTCAAATGCGCTCTCTTGATTCAGTTCTATTAGGAGATCATGGAATAAAGACCATATTTGAGATCATCGTGTTTTAGTTATGCAAAGATCAATCTTGAGAAAGTGAAAGTTTTGGGACTAAACATGTCCTATTGGATAATTGACTGAGGTCCTGATTGTGCAAGTATATACGCTACACTTCTTTTTGCTTAGTAAGAAATATTGTGTTTGTTAAATTAAAAACTTGTTTTCCAATCTCATTATTTCTCACACACAAGAAATTTCAGTCAAGTTTTCAAATACAGACTGCTCTACCAAATTCCTGGTTGACCTTTCTGTTACTAGCGGATATATCTATCTGATATTTGTAAGGAAATCAGTTTAACTGAGAATACTCAGTTGCAACAGAAGGTTCCAAAGAACGAAACCAGATATAAGTGTGCACAAAGAACAAACACTTAATAACACTTTCACAAATTACAATACTTATTTGTATTGTAATTTATTTACAGCACAACAAACCATACAGTAAAACTCGAGGGCAAGTGATTAATGAGTGTATGTGTGAAACTGATAAAAGCGAAACGAAGACATTATTGAATGAACCCTTATTATTACAGTGTGTTCATCGTTGTAGTTTAAACTAGACTATAAATAAAGATAAGAACCCAAATTCAGTTAAGGCCCGGCATGGCCAGGTGGTTAGGGCGTTCGACTCGCAATCTGAAAGTCGCGGGTTCGAATCCCCGTCATACCAACTTGCTCACTATAATGTGACGGTCAATCCCACTATTCGTTGGTAAAAGAGTAGCCCAAGAGTTGGCGGTGGGTGGTGATGACTAGCTGGCTTCCCTCTAGTCCTACACTGCTAAATTAGGGACGGCTAGCGCAGATAGCTCTCGTGTAGTTTTGCGCGAAATTCAAAAACGCACCAAATTCAGTTAAATGTAAAGTTAACAGCAGATCTATTCAAATTGTGTTAACTTCAAAACAAGTTTAAATCAAAAATTCAAACGTTATCTTAACGCTAAAACTAACTCACAAAATCTAAACTTTCTTCAAAAACATACTATTCACTGAAGTCAAAAATAATACAATACAATGTTTATTCACTTTAGTTATTTCGCTACAAGTACGTTAGCACTAAAACGAAAGTGAAACCAAATTTCGAATTCGATGACGAGGAACCCACTTTGAGACTAATAATGGTTGGAGACGGCTTGAATGGGTAATGAAGAAAAACTTTAATATAAGTTTAACATAACAACAAATGTACAACGGGTCATCGGGTGATGATGACAAAACCTCGTCGAAACATTACCCATTCAAGCCGTCTCCAGCCATTATGAAACCAAATTTGTTTACGGAAAGTCATAAATCTTAGGAGCCATAAGGGCTCTCAGTCTAAAGTGAAATTTAACTCCGCTAACCACACAGAGAAGCTGAAAGTCAGTAACTCACACCTCTCTGCGTCCAATAGGGGAACTGTGAAAAATAACACAACTTTAAATTTATACTTTTATATTAAAGGGTTGGAAACATCTAATAGGTTTCCTTAATATATATCACTAACAGCTATCTCTATAACAACTCAGCTCAAGCTTCAACTCATTCTGCATCATGCATTCTTATGTAGCATTCTTCTATTTCTTCTCCTTCAATAATCCGAATCATTCTTCTTCATCATCACCAATTTCATCGTTTTTTTATCGTAGCTCGAAGCTTCATTCTCTTCTGCCATTTGGCATTTTTATTAACACCAACGGAAGTTTTTCTCTGGTCTCTTTTACGGTTTACCTTTTCTGCAACTGATATCATGTCATGATCCCATTCACATTTGCTGCATTTGGTAGTACGTCGGGTATCTTGCTACTTTATACTTATTTTTGAATGTGATATTTCTGACATCTGTCCTCCGAGATGATTACTGGCTCCACGAGAATCTCTAAATATATTGTATTCATTACTTCAGGCACTTTGATAAAAACTTTCAATCAAAAAATAAAATAATTGTATCTCTTCCATTCTTTTCAGTCCTGGGATTGACTAACACCGTTGTATTACTCATGTAACAGTGCTTATTCCATAAAAGTTGCAAGAGAGTCAAGTTAATACCGGATGTGTGCCTCCCGGTCTGATCGATTCATAGATTCGTTGTTAAACACTCTAAATAAAACATATGTGGTAGAGGGGACATTAGGCAATGAAAATTAAAACAGTATTTACTTACCTTTTTATTGCTCATTTCTTTCATTTCACATAACAAAAACTAGAATCGCATTGCAATATGAAATAAAAATAAAACAATCACTATACGAAGTTATTTCCTTTGCGAGTGCCTCCCGGTGTGTCTCATCAATAAGTGTCCGTGCTAATACAGCTAAAAATCGGGATTAGATACCTGCGGTTGTCGGAGCACAATAGCTCATTGTGTAGCTTTGTATTTAACAGTAAACAAACAAATCAAGTTGGGATAGTGTTGACAACCTAATAAATATGCAGTAATCGGACATTTACACCTAACACTTAGTTCTTGTTTACCCCTTTTGAACATCAGAATGTTATAGTGTCACCTTAAACAAAAGTTGGGATAGTGTTGACAACCTAATAAATATGCAGTAATCGGAC